ACGATTAACTTGGGGATTAGCGTCTTTATTTATTGTAGATATGTATGTATGTAGGAGGAGTTTACGTCTTTCTGAAAGTTACCGAAGTCAGCGTAATTTTATTCAGATTTCAGAAATTTTCAACACTTTGCTTTTCTGTCCCAAGAGCAATAACTTTACATACATCGTCCATTTACTTCAATAGTGTCATAACTCAAAAAAAAAAAAATTTTTGAAAACGGCTTTAAAGTTTTAAATTTACATACATTTCGTAAATTTTAAACGCTTATATAAATATTTAGAGGACTTTAACCCTCAAACTCCAAAACTCAAAAAAAAAAAATTTAGAAAACGGCTTTAAAGTTTTAAATTTACATACATTTCGTAAATTTTAAACGCTTATATAAATATTTAGAGGACTTTAACCCGCAAACAACTATTTTTAGCCGTTTAAACTTTACGACATACAACAATACGAATACCCCAATTGTTGCAGTGAGCCAATAGCAGAGCTGCGTCGTAATGATTCCTTTAGGAATTAAATTACTCCCAATTACAAATTACAAGGAACTGTAATTAGGAATCAATTCCTTCAGCCCACAGCAAAGGAATCGATTACTTTCTCAATTCCTTGAAGTAATTTCAAATGTAATTGTTTTTTTTTTTTATTCCATTACAAGGAATTTCAAATTGTAATTGGAATAAATTACGTGCTAGTAATGGCTTGCTGCCGAAAATATGTTTGAAGAGGTTTGCCATCTGTCTGAAAATTTAACTAAATTACATTGATAAAATAAATAAAATATTACAATATGGGTATCAAATTAAAGAGGTTTAAGAAAGATAACTGTTGGAAATATTTTTGAGGGCGGGGAGTGGCACCTATTTGGGAATTGTAACTCAGTTAAATTGATAAAGTAAATGAAATGTTGAAATGTGGGTGTCAAACTAAAGAGTTTTAAAAAGGCTTACAATCTACCATGAACACTTTCAGAGATATGCAATATGAAAAGTTCGGTTTATATGGGAGGTGCCACGCCCCATTCTCCAACCATGCAAATTTTTCTCCATGAGTATGGAATTGATCTTGTATATGTATATTTCCCCATACCCAGTTATAGTCCTCTACCACAAATATATGCAGTTTGAAAAATTCGGTTTGTATGGGAGGTGTCACGCCCCCTTTCTATATCGAAACTTTTTTTAGCCTATAACCATCCTTGGAAAGTCTGCAGTAGATTCCGAAATTTCAAAAAAATCGGTACGGGCTTTCTCGACCTTTGCGAACAGAAAAAAACGGATTTCAAAATATATATTAGTATAGACTAGCCAATATCTGCCTGTTTTGCTTAAGCACTACTAACAATGAAAATCGATGGATAAAGAAACAAGTTTGCAAGGGTTAAGTGAAAGTGCAATAATTTTTTGTATGAAATACTAGCAGGAAATAATGTTACTCATACGCCATATCGTTACGGTGACCATCCGTTCTGTTTTTTGCAGGACCGTACTGTTATTTAAAGGTCTGTCCTGCGTAGTTTTTCAAAACAGAAAACCCCCAAAATGTACTGACTTTTTCCAAGTGTCCTGCTTTTGTCCCGCATTTACTTCGATATTTTATAATTAACTTTTCCTTATAGAAATAAAAGCAGTGTCTATAACTAATTGATAACTACATAAGGGTAAGCTGGTTTTGACGGTTCAACTAGTCAATGCGTTCTAAATATTGTACGGTTATGGACAATGGATGACGAGAAATTGAAGACCAGCATCAAATATATCGATAACACTGTTCTACAAATTTTGTGGTAATCGCTTAAGAAAAAAAATAGTTTCCAAGCCAATTTTCCTTTGAAACAAGCGCTTTCGTAATTTTTTTGAAAAACGTGTTTTTGGTGCATTTCGAACCTATTCGTCAATATCTCATGAAAAAATTATCCAACCAGCATAAGCGACCTACAGTCCTCTTACAAAAATATATTACTTTGCCGATTTCGATGTAAATTGTTAGTGTTACAAGCGACCAAAATCGAAAAATTAAAATTTCAATCATTTTCTTTTTACAGTAAATGACAACCTGATGAGAAATGTAGATGTTACGGAACACAATCTGCACAAAAAATATATATTTTTGCAAAGAGCCCATCAATACCTTTCGAACTGTTGGTCGTTTCATGAGATATTGAGGAATAACTGAAAAAGTACTAAAAATACGGTTTCGAACAAATCTCGAAAACACTTCTTTGAAACCATGGGTAATTTTTCGTGTTCAACGACCCAAAAATTGCTTAAAAAATTTACTTTACCGAAGTTCATATTTCGTGTAAAGTAATATGTAATATGCCTTGTTATAATTTTGTAAATATTCATTACTAAAAGATTAATACCAATGAAGCAAGTGTGATTTATGTTTAAAGTTTAAAATTGGATTAATAATTAAGAAAAATACACTCTTCGTTATAATAATTAGTAGGTACAGTTTTCCTTTTGTTTGTTTAATATTCATTAACTTTTCATAAAAATATAGCATATTCTACGTCTACATCCCCTGCGCATTTTCTTCCATATAAACATTCTGTCAAGCATACTTTGTATGGTAGAAAATCAAAAGAAGGGTGCGCTATTCAAATCCGTAACAACAACCAAGAAATTTAACAAAGCTATTACAATTCAACAGTAAACATTTTTTTTTATAAATTTTTCGATTACTTTTTAAATTACTTTGAGGAATGGAATTCGAAAAAAGTCAATTACATTTTCAATTCCTTTCAAAGGAATTGGAAAAAAAATTTCATTTTCAATTCTCTTCAAAGGAATTGAAAAAAAATATTACATTACTAGCACGTAATTTATTCCAATTACAATATGAAGTTCCTTGTAATGGAATTAAGGAAAAAAACTTCCATTTGAAATTACTTCAAGGAATTGAAAAAGTAATCGATTCCTTTGCTGTGAACTGAAGGAATTGAATCCTAATTACAATTACTGAGGAATGTAATTGTAATTGTAATGTGATTGCATTTACCCAGCAGTGGCCAATAGTAAGTGATACAGGTATGAGATTTCTACAAATACAGAAGAAGGGGTAGCGGTAATCTCTGCGTACTTAACTCAAAATTTGTATTATTTGGATTATGACACTATTGAAGTAAATGAGTGATACATACTCAGAAGTGGGAGCCACCACGCCTTTTTTTGCAAAACTTTGCAATAACCTAATTTACTGCTAAAAAATTATTACAAACATCGAATTGGAGTCAGGTGGCTGAAACAGTTACTGATTTTTCGCGGTTTTCGTATTTTTGTACATTACCGTTAAATGGCAGGAGGTCCGATTTTAAAAATTTTCAACAGTGAGACTGTAAGCAATGTTCAAACCGAGTTTGATGGGAGTTGGTTAGGCGGCTACTGAGAAACAGCATTTCTTTATAAGTGGGCCGTGCCACGCCAATTTTCAAAACATTTCATAATTGTCATTTTTAATGCCGAAATTCTATTTCAACTTGCAATTCTCGAAAATACCGTTATATGAGAGGTCCGATTTCGTCCGTTTTCGATACCAACCTACACGGTGTACACGGCCGGACGGAGAGACATGGCTAAATCGGCTTATCTTTTCATTCTGCGTAGTTTTATATATATTATATATATATATATATACATATATATATATATATCTTTATATCTAATTCGAATCCTTACAATTCTGTTACAAACAACGTTTATGCAGTGCAGTCGGTTATAAAAACTTGTTGAATTTTTCTAGTTTTTCTACGAAGTTTAAAATTTGGACCTATTTGGTTTTGGTCAGATAATGAGCTGTATTTTCAAAGAAAAAATAATAAACATTGAACAGTTATTTTTCACATGACTGTATGTACATACCATACGCATGCACAATCACTGCTTTGCATGCCGGAGATAATGTTTCCCACTAAATTTAAAATTTTTAAGGAATTTCGTGGAGAAACGAATGAAGTGCCAAGTATTTATTTACATACATACATTCATAAATATTTCGAACTAAGTTTGATTTTCTTTCGAAAAAGCAAAGCCAAAGTTTTGCATGGCGTGGGACAGTTAGAGAATTCAACAATCGTTGCTACAAGAAACTGTTACTTCGGCACAAAGGGGTTGCCAAACGGGTGAAAAAACTTTCACTGTTATTTTGCATAAAAACGCACTTATTGTTACAAAATAATTCGCATCTTCGCACAAATTATGTACGAAACACTGCAAACGACGAGGTCTAAACACTGCCAAAGTCCCTCTTCAAGCAGCGAGCTAAAGTCTCGCGTATATACATACATTTTAAGATATTCACAAAATTGTGTAATAAAAATAAAACTTAACATGACACGCTCAGTTTGACATTTGAATTAATTGAAAGATGCATAAAAAGGCTAGGGTGCACTTTGTGCATATCTGTGGCGCCAGCGGGTTGCTGAGCGCAGGGCGTGAGCATTGCTCGAAGGTCGAAGTGAAAGGTCTCCCAACTATCGGAATAATTGTTGTGAGGATAAGTAAAAAAAAAAAACAGACACAACAACAACGGCAACGTAAGCGAAGAATATTCAATGAACATAAATAGTTGAAGGAGGATGAGGACTTGGATGGACACATAAAAGCATGCTTCAAATTCACGAAGCAGAAATCCATAGCTGCGATGTTAGTACATCAACTACATGACGCGAAAAAATTAATAATTGCACTTCAGAAGCGCTTGCGACGGTAGATGGCGGGAAATTGAAATGGAGCGCATTAATTGCAATTTGTTGCAAATTTTAATTGCGCGCTCACCCTGGTCAGGTTTCATTAAGCCAGCATCGCCCCAGACATGCTGCTTCAGCGGAAACCGCTATCCATACAAAGTAAATTAATGCAACATGCATTTAGGCGTGCTATTACAAATACGATCATATTTGTGTGTTTATGGCTGGTCATTTGCCACCACAGCTAGCTGGCATAAGCAAGATTAGCTGGCACAGTTTTGTTCAGAGACACGAATGATGTTTACTCACCTCCAAGTTAAATCCGTTTTGTCCCATTTGGGTCCCTGCAACACATACCGCTTCATGCGATGGTACCCATACTGCAGATTATCGGGCGAGAAATTGGCAGTACGATTACTGTCGCCCACTCCGCAGCGAGGTAGTTGTATCAGTTTTCGTGTGGCCTCGTCTATTTCGCCGGTGGCCGGAATGTTGCCAAAGCGCTGCAATAAAAAAGAAATACATAAATACAAGCGGAGAACAATAGTTATTTGTGCGCCAGATGGGCACATTATCTACCTGTAGGTTCCGTATGGCATCCTTCAGTTGCTCTTCGGTCCGCAAAGCTCCTGTTTCGATGTCCGACTTAGGCAGATAATCAAACTCCATCAAGTAATTGTACTGCAGCAGATATGCAAATGGAAGAGATGAGAGGATGCAAATGCATTAGCTCTTTGTTTAGCGTGCCAAGTTTTTGGTATATTATTTCTATGCCAAATATAAGCCTAAAATTATGCTAAGCAAAATGCCAGATATGTTTTAGTACAGTGTATCCCTGCATCTCTTTGAAGGTTTAAAAAATTCCGGTGGACGATGTGGAAGAAATTGCTTACTACTAGTTAGTTGGCTTGTTTAACAAAATATGTATTTGTGTTGTTAAAATATTTTCCCAAATCGAAAGATTATATTAAAAATGACAATGACTTTTTTTAAGAATGTAAGCAGCTGAGGCAGACTTTTCAACAATCTGTACCAACTACGGCCTCCATAGGCCTCGTCATGAAAATCTTTGAAATCGTCCAAAACGTCGCCAATGATGATATTGCCAACTTCGAGTTTTAGAAAATTACCGTTACATGGAGGTTGACGTGGTTATTACTCGGATCCAACCCTCGTATTATTTATTTTATTTTTTGGTCAAGGGCCCTATTAAATATATATTTTAAGTAAATTTTAAAGTAAACCTTAGCCACACTGCAAAATATCTTAAAATACCAAGTCAAGGCCGTATTTAAATAAAAAATTCCCAACTTATTTTAGTAGCACTATGTTACCGGTTTTAAGGGTTTGTAATACTTCGTTTTATGTCAAGGGCCACCCTATAAAAACATTCTAAGCATTTGAACCTTTAGGGAAAAAAATTATAGAATTGCCACCAGTTTGAAAAATTCGTAAATTGAAAAAAATAAAGTCTATATTACATTATGGGTGGGTCGAAAATATTTTTGAGGCTTGTCACGTGTTTGAAAATTTTTATTTTGTTTAATTGATACGATAAATTAAATATTACGATGAAAAAGCTTACTATCGAAAATATTTTTCAGGAGGGTTGCCACCTGTTTGTTTGAAAAGAGTTATTCAACTAAATTGATGAGATAATTAAATATTAAACGGGTATAAAACTAAAGAGGTTTAAGAAATTTTACAGATGAAAATATTTTTGAGTCGGCCACCTTTTTCCATAATGTATTTCAATTAAATTGATAAGATTAACTAAGCATTACAATATAAGTATGAAACGAAATTTTTTCGTAAATAAATATTTTTAATAGGGCTTCCACCTATCTAAACAGTAAAAACTAAAAATATTGAAATTAAATGAAATATTACTAGATTAGTACCAAAGGAAAACGGTTTGAGGAAGCTTAACTGGGCAAGTTTTTACCTATCCAAAGGTCGAACTTAACGATCGAAAGAATTTACAATGTTTAAACTGCGTTGCCACTGAATGTATACATCTAAATTAATACTGAGCGTTTTTGCTAATAGAGTTGAAATAAAAATTATGAAATGTTTTTGCAACGAAAACCATTACTAAAAAATCTACTCCTACAAATATGAAAGTAATAAAACACCTTAGAAAAATATTAAAATATCAAATGGAAGCTGTTAAAAAAATTCTTGATGAAAACTTAACATTTTTGTCACCTTTTTTTCGAAGAATATAGTTATAACTAACATAAATACATAATTTCATTCGGGCTTGCCACAGTCTACCACGCATATTGCGAGGACAAAAAATTGAACATGTGCGTTGAGTTTTTCTGATTTTAAAATATCTAATATGCTAACTACTTCATAGCTACAAAATCTTCAACGTTTTATTATTGCATTTAATGGGAGGTGAAAAACACATTAGGTATCAGGAAATGTACCCTTTTCTTGGTAGAAGCAGCGGTATTTTATTTAATAAGCTTTAATTTAAAGGATTTCATAGAAAAAAAAACGGAACACATAACATAGTTTCCTAACTTACTTTTGTCCAGAATTTCGAGCAGGGAAACCAGTAACATATTTGCCCTAAGACCCAATAGGCCCGGTCCTAGGGCGGCCAGATATTACGGACGGGCATATGGCAAAAAAAATACACCGATGCTAACAAGATACGTAAATACGAGTAAAATCTATATAGTGACACTAAACTCCTAAAATCTATATGGTCGTTAAAACACCCAGGTCTAAAGAACTTTATAATAAATTTTATTTTATTACTAATCTGAGGAAATTAACGTCAGAAGTCGAAGAAAGAGACGAATGTCTCCACTTTCGTAAGCAAAGCATGCCAAAATCACCAGATTTCATAAAGAAAATTACTTTGTATATTTTATTTTACTAATCGTATAGATCTTGAGAAGAGAAATACGATTCCATTGTTTAAAAACGAAAAATAATAATATCACTTGAACAACAACAACATTGTGGTGCTATTCAAGAAATCCCTCTGTGAGCCAAATTAACCCGATTTTAAAGCCAAACTTCACACACTGTACGACAGAAACTCGGATTTATTTTTTTTTTAAATTATTCAATTATTAATTTTAATTATTTTTAATGTAATAATAGTAGTTGACTTTTAAATAAAATTAAACTACAAAAATTTTAATTATCTAATAAGTGCAATGGGGTATAGTCGATGGGCTGGGTATGCAGTTACAGTTACACGACTATGCTCAATCCCGACACTTGCGTCCTTGTTAGCGCACTCTGGGCAATGTGGGCAACCCATGTGCGAGATGCGGTAACCAATCCGAGTGGAGCCTTGGTTCACGGCCGAAAGAGCTTCGTTGGGCCACTCCCACTTATTGGACTTAAGGGCTCACTGAAGTCTGCAGCGTCTATTCACCAGTAGATGCGGCTGGTTTGTGCGCTGGGTGTGGGACCCGCCTCATAAAAACCACTTCCAGCGAAGAACGAAGACAAAGCCTCGGATGAGACCCTCTTATGGTGGCGACCACGGCAAACGTTTAAAGGACTATGATTTGAGGGCATGCAGCTGGAATTCCCGGACCCTTAATGGGCAAGGTGCCTCTGCCCGGTTGGTTTATAAGGCAAGCAATGCCTGGGGCCTTGCGACGTCTACTGCAGCTGCCATGTAAAGGAGTGCAAACTCGGTGTTGGATTTGTGGTGGGAGAGAGACTCCGTCGCCGAGTACTGTCGTTTACCCCGGTGGACGAGCATCTAGCCACAATCCGCATCTAAGCGAGATTCTTCAACATCTCGCTCATCTGCGCCCATGCCCCGACGGAAGAGAAGGTTGAGGTATCCAAGGATCTCTTCTATGAGCGCTTGGAGCGCACGTACGAGCGCTGTCCCCGTCATCATCTCAAAATCGTGCTTGGCGACTTCAATGCCAGGGGGGGGGCAAAGAAGGGAGCTTTGGAATCGCCGTCGGAAAATTCAGCCAAAAATACCAAACGTGTTCACATTGCAGACAACGAATTTTTCCATTTATGCCCCCTTAGGCGGCACTGTGCTACGCCTCTAAGACGCATCTTTGAGTTTTACGTAACTTTCAATTAGAATGGGCTCCTAGGGTTAAACAAACGACATACCTGACACTTTAGATTTAGTAGTCATCTACTTTTAAGCTTAATTTCCTAGAATCTTATGTAAAATCCGAATCTGCTAGAAACGACCAGCCCTAGTATGTGCATATATATATATAAATATATATATTATACGCGAACGGATTTCTTGGGTATTAATGTAAATTAAAGGTTTTTTTTTCAAAAGTACATGTAGGAGGGTTCCCGCCTTTTTAAAAGCCAAATACATACATATTTAATGAAGTATTAAAACCTAATAGAAAAGTACTCTCTTCCGAGATGCAACTAAAAATGACGCCAAAATTGCAAACAACGCCGACTGATGTGAGCGAAATCGCTTTGCATTCTGATGTAAGTTCATGCATTCATACATACGTACATACATACATTGCAAATGCACACATACAAAGGCATATATAAACTCTTTCAAAGGCTAAGATAAGCTTTAATTTCTTATACATATGTACATAAGTAGAACGAAGAGGGCCCACAATGGAAAAGAAGAAAAATATACATATATACATATAAACATATAAACATGAAACCAGCGAATGTAATTCTGGTAATGTAAACGTCTTACAAGCAAAATAAATGCAAAAATAATGCAAAGATTGGCAAAGCTTTATGGCCGATAAGCGCATAGTTTAAAACGTAGAATGATGAGGAAAGAAATCTACAAAAGTGCAACAAATTAAAGTAGAAGGTAGTGTAAAGACATGCCAGGCCAGATCTACATTAGTATGCATTTATATACAAGCTATTTATCACTTATGACTGTAGTAAAAAACCAAGGGAATTTGGTATTTTTGAAAAAAAATTTTATGTGATTTTAATAAGCTTGTTTCCCAGACATTTTCTCCAAACTCCTTTTGGGACGAATGATATCGCATTTTTTACTTTAGGAATTTAATTGTAAAGCAAAAGCATTGACAGCTGGTAACAATGATGCGTATTAACGGCGCGGTTGATCAGATTAAAATTATACCCTAGCAAACGACAGTAATACGGGTGCTGCGAGTCCCACGGTCAGTATAATTTTCATAAAATTTTTTTGAATTAATTAAATTATTATTCAATTTTTTTAAGGTAAAAGTTGTGTTTGTGGGCTTTTTAAACACATTTAACTCCAAAAATTTTGATTTCTTATAATAAAATAAATAATATGAAATCAAATACAACAATCGAAACTAAAATAGAGTAAAATAAAGTATACACCAAAAAAAAACAGAATAATAATAAACTTTTGGCAATCGCTCGAACCTACGATCTAACCTGGATCCTATGGATCACCACTCGGTTACCGCGGATTCCGAAAACCGTTGCTTTGTTTGCTCAGAGAGCGTAGAATACATAGAACATGCAAAATTAGCCTGCACATTTCCAATGTCTTGTCAACGCTAGCAGCAGGTTAAATATCATAACATATAACTTAAAAGTATCAGGTGAACAAGCCGATATTCTTTCATGCTAGTACGAAATCGGGTTTCGATCAATTTAAATTTTTTAAATGACCTTTTGTGAAACTCGATAATAATAGCGCAAACTGATTTCCGCATTGCGGAGCGTAGGATGCA